TCTTCACTTAGGGTAAGCAGTACTTAGCAACAACCAAAACATCATTGTATAATCAAAATWATCCTCATACTAAATTCAAAACACAGCACGGTACCRGCTACTAGGAAGAAAATTAACKCTATCCCAGCCAAAACCAGGACAGCTGTTCTGTCTTACTTTTAAAACAAATGTCTGGAAGGGGCTCTGGTAAAGTTTTATTAGCATATCAGTGTGATTTGGCTTGTTTTGGATAGAGAATTCTCCCTGTTCATCCCCTGCCAGCGTATCAGGGTCTGTGCCTCATGCATACACTTTCCTTCCTTCTGCCTCAGCAGCATTTTCACGTAATTTCTGTGTCTACAAACTGGATCACAGCTGCTGCTCAGTGAACAGACCAATTGTGAATGCCTTACGGCCATCATACCTCAGTTTTGTACATCCTTCTCCCTGTAGCCACAGAAATGACCAGTGACAGCCCAGMTGTAGCAACAGACTGTGGCTGTAGTTCTGTCTGAACCTCTGTAATGCACACCTTCTACTAGGAAATCTGCCAAAGCATTCTATTGTTCCGGATCAGCTCAAAAAAAGATACCCAAAAGAACGAGTGAAATATTAAAAAAAAAAAAAAATTGTTCTTCCCCTCAGTCCAGGTGTCTCTAAGGCCTGAGTTACTTGCTCCAAGAGAAAGCTGCTCTTTGTGTAAAATATGCCCAGGAGATCTTAGYTGCTGGAATTGTGCAACAAACCACAGTAAAGTAGGAGACAGAGATCTGTGCTAATTCAAGAGGGTGAAATTTCTTCTCAGTCACAAATCCGAACACCAGTTCAACTCTGGATACATGYAGATGAACCTTACAGCTGCTGTGCATTTTGACTCAAAGAAGTAACTTTGTGCCATTTTTAAAAGTTAGGCTAATGACTTCAACACAATTTTGGTTGGATGTTTTAAAGGTTTACACACCCTCTTCTCTAACACATAATGTACTAATTGTTATGTCTACAGAATTCAATAAAATGGTAYGGAGACTCAGGTGTCTCATCTTTTCCTTTCTCATTCTTACACAGAAATGGTAATGTGGCCAGGTAATCACAGAGTGACAATTTATACCTGTTAGCCCTTGATATTGGTATTTCAGAAATAAATTGCATTTGTCTGCCAGGGTTCTTGTGTGCCATTCATGGCATGCTGTRTTTTTATCCCTGAATTCATCAGAGAGTTGCATGCATGTTTGTACCYTTGCTTTCCTCATACTTTCAAGGAAACTGTAATCCAGACTGAGCCAAGAAAAATAGTGCTGAGGAACTATGAGCAGCTCAGGCAGAATGAGAAAGATGAGACCATCCTTGCTAGGTTTTGTGAAATCCCCCCAGTTTTCTAACTTATCCTTGCTTGGGACCTTATCATAAAACACTGGATTGCATATGTGAGAAGCCTAGCAAAGTACAGAGGCCCAGGTTCAAAAGGACCCTTCTTCTTTGATTAAATGTGTTACTGCTGCAGAGACTTAGATAGAACATTCGTACTGAGTCATAACACCAATTCATCCACCAGCAAACACTAACAGTATAAAACTTTATATGCTCTTACCATATTTGATTTTCCTATCTGTTCCTTCCAAATAGATTAATGCCCTTTTCACCTACTTCTTGCTTCTGTTATGCTTCATGTCTGTTTTCTGATGTCCCTGAAAAAACATAGACCCCTTTTGCCACTCATTCTCCCTCCTGCTTCAAATCCTTTTCCTGTCTTACTAACTCCTCAGTTTTTCATCTTATCAAACACCCTCTCTATCCCTGCACTCCAGGGCTATTGCTGTCTGGGACATAAACAGGTGTGATCCTGAGCAGGAACAGTCCTGTAAAATTTACCCAGGGATACAGCTGTTACTTAACTCAAAGCCTTACCTCAATAAAGCAAGGACATAACGTCAGTCTTGTGTACACATGTTAGTGTTAGGGTACCACTAACAGTGTAGTTACAGTGTCATGAAATTCAGCATGAACTAATTGCTGGAATGTCCAGCGATTGCTGAGATGACTTTTGAAACTCTCTCTGTACCATATCTTCAKGAAAGAAAGAGTCACCATTGTTTCAAGAGCCCATGGCACCAGCTTTCTTCCAAACAATTTATCAGGTAAAAACCCCTGTGTTTAAACTGTGACATTGAAGAACAGAGATGAAAAGCTGCTTTCAAAATCTGCAGGAAAGAKCATCCAATGAGGACTTTGTATCTGCATCCATGAAAACAGGCCTCCTAAGCATCTTCTAAAGGTATGTGTTATAAACAAATTTATTTCAAGTCACTGATGTCTGCATGAGTAGGAAACTAACCTGCAGGGCTTCAAAATCTACTGCAGCTCAGCAAAGAGCAGCATTAATACAATCAGACCCAAATGACCCATGAACTGATCCTATTTGCTCAGAAATTCTGCCGTTTCTTTGGTGCAGTATTTTKATAAAGTACATCTGGGATTGCCAGWAAAAATTRGATGTAAAATTACATCCAGTAATTTTTTCATAGCAATAACAATTTGCTGGGAAGGATTTGATTTCTTAGGGAAACCTTTTATGTTGTGCTAGGTAAACCAATAAGATATCAGGTTTGCTGTCTGCCATCATTGCTGGTTCTGGACAGGAAAAAAGCCCAAAACTGATCTCTTCATCAGCTCAATGTAATAATGTTGCCCATGTACTGTGTGTCCTCCTCCAAACTGGAGCATTCCACTGAAATACCCACTGCTAAGTTTACAGATAATTATTTATTCTATGGCATTATTTCCACAACCAATGATCTTTGTTCATTTTCAAAGATTAAAAAAATATCATTTTACACTCTGAAAACCTTCAGTCACTGGGACATTTGGGGAAAACCCAGATTTGCACGTGGTGTGGAGCTCAATAATGGTTGATATTSTGRGTATCTTAAGTTCAGTCCTTGTCAYATGCYACAAGTCAGATTAAAATCAATAGCTAAAGAGCACACCTAGGACATCCTGGATATTTGAGRTAGGGGAAAACTTAAGGTTTGTTTAATTAAAGATTTTAGTTAGATGACTGAAGGAGACCCCAGACTCAGGGCCCTTCTCAAGACTGTTCCAAAGAGAGMAACGAGGTTTCATTTTTTGGAACAAGCATATTTAGTCCAGAGAAAAGAAACCTGGTCAAACAAAGTTAGACAAATGTTAAATTTACAAGATAAGAATGTTTGTGAAGGAAAACACGCAGAGAGACTTTTATAGAAAGTGCTTACATCAGTTAAACACAGTGTTCCATGGGCCATAAAGAGAGTTAATTGCTGTTCTCAGAACATTTCCCTGCATCCCCTCCCATCACTGAAATAGCCCAAGTTTCCCTTATAGCCCTGTGGCATGGTATTCCTGATGACTGCAAGTCCACACAATGCTTTGAGATCCTTTGCATAACACAGTTCATTTCTACCATCTTCACATATAGCTGTAGCCATCTCATCTCTCCCTTCCCTCTCCTGTGAGACTGCCACCACAGTAATTTCAGGTCTCATTGTTTGCTTCCTTCTCTTTGTTGGCCTGCAGGAAGAGTGATTTGATGTGTGCATTGGGATTTAAGAAACACACTGGTAAAATCTGTGGTATGAGTGTGGACTGATGATCTGGATAATGCCAATACACTATTGATAGGTCAAATAATGACTGACACTCTGTCACTCTCTTTGCAGAACATCTTCTGTATCTACAGTTCCAATTTACATGACACTAACAGAAACYTACTATATTTGAGACTGATGGACTCTGGCAGATTTGTTTACAATCAGGAAGTAGCATCTGGATTTGACAATTACAAAAAATCATAAAACCTGACTAAAACTACCAGTAGGTGCAACTGATACCATTAGAAAAGGGGTCACTCCTACAGTTACTACTGGACAGCTACTCACTCTCTTTTAATTTTGGATTAACATCAACACATTTTAACACTTACAAACAGAAGGAATTTAATACTATCCTTCATTCTTCCTCAGATCTAATTTCTGACAGTTTCATTGTWTTGCTCCACCTGCTTTCTTACTTTGTTAAACAGAAGCTTTCTCCCTCTCTGCTTCTTTTAATGGAAATAATTTCTCTCCACAGAAAAAGAYGAGTTTTGCCTTTTTCTTGAAAGACTTTCGTAGGGCTTGACAGCAGATTCCTTGTGGGTCCAGCTATATTCCAGCTCCTGGCAGGCATGTATGCAAGCTCACTCTGGATCAGAGTAGCACCATGGTCATCCCTACTGCTCCCCTTTGTGCTTTCCTTGCTGTTGTCAGTGAAACTGCTTTATTATTTGATCAAATAATTGGAAATAACTAGCCTCTTTGGCAGAAAGAGGCAGTTGGGTGTAAAAAGTTTGAATGGAGAAACAACCARTGTTAAGTTACAGCAATATGAATTTTGGTTAATCCATACAGTGATCTAATGTGTAYTGCAGGTGAAAACACCTTTGATTTTGAGGCTTTTTTCAAATATTAACTTACTAGTATCAGACAAAGCCTTTTAGCCATCTGCATGTGAGCACGCAAAAATTCTTGAATTTTTTTTTTTCACTCTTAAAAGTTCGGCACTAAAAGCCCAGTTCTGATTTCACTTAAGGAAGGGGAACACTATTCTCATTCCTGAGCAATTAGATTTTGGAAGCAGGCATCTTAAGTTCTTACCTGCAAGAACTCCTGCGGAGCCCCCACCTAATTTTTCACTGCAAAGAAGTGCTAAATATCACCAAGCCGCARAATCACAGAAYAGTTGGGGTCGGAAAGGACCTTAAATATCTCCTGGCTCCWCCCCACTGCCACGGGGAGGGACATCTTTCAGTAGATACGTTTTCAGAGGAAGCGAGGCTTAGCTTCTGACGAGAGCATCAGTCGTGCAAATTCTGTGATTCTCAAGCTCTTCGGATCTCCAAATAAAAAAAAAAAAAAAACCCAGGCAGTTCAGCATGCCCGTAAATAGCAAGAGCTGGCAGAGTTCTACCACCGCCACCGAGCCGCGCTGACAGAGCCTGCCGCGTTTTCTCGGGAAACCCAAAGCAAACAAGCGCCCGAGGCCCGCCGCGCTGACAGAGCCGTGCCTGCCGCGTTTTCTCGGGAAATCTAAAGCAAACAAGCGCCCGAGGCTCGCTGACCCGCTATTCCCGGGATGGCCCGGCAGCGGCCATGGCGGGAGCGGCGCTGAGGGGACCGTGAGGGGCGGTGAGGGAGGGGCGGTGCGGAGCCAGGGCGCCTGCGCGGGAGGCGGGTGGTCGGCGGGCCGGGGGC